TTACAGTTTATTGTCTAAATTTTGTATTCCGATATTTCTAGACCTCTGTCTCGAATAATAGGTTTCGTTTGGTTTGAATTTAAAATGTCATATCAAGCATATTGATAATACATTGAGTTGATATTTGCTATGAACCTTTCTCTACATTTCTCAAGGTTAAAAACTTCGTGTCTTAGGCCAATCACCAAGTGAGCCGTGGAATGGCTGGCGTGTGTAATGGGCCTGAACTTGGGTTTGTACCTAAGTTTTTGCAATCTCCTTCATCCTGTTTTATCTTCGGCTAGGTTATTGTCAAACGCCTCTCTTTTTCATTTTTTTTTAAGGTTATTCTTTACTAACAATTTGTTAATCTAAGTTAAAAAAATTCAGTTTTCCTTAAATAAAGTTTTAAATTCAAATTTTGTGAATAAAAAAACACGCATTGGAAGCACTTTTTTTCTTATAGGGGTCGACATGGTTTGATTTCAAATTAATTAAAATTCAATGCAACTTTTGTATACTAGAGGGTTAATGCCTCTTTGCATGTCAGAAAATGCACCCAAAGAGTAGAGTAGATACTTCAAACTCGAAGTTTCGTGAGAGACATGGAATTTGGTTGTCAGCTGACGATTGATGTTACTTGCAGCTCGAGATTTTGTTTTCTTGAAATATTGAGATATAGTGTCAAATTTCAACTTTATCTGTGGTTTGCATATGCATACTTAATACTAGAAGCTTGGTTGAAAAACTGTTTTCTTGTTGCCTTTCATAAATCTATGTCAATTCATTTAATGAAAGTTGGCCTGTGAGCATCCATTTAATTCTTAATGAAGACATTGCAGGGTCGTAGTGGTTCGGGAACTGGAACTTGCTAGGTCTCCTCATTCAATGAAATGGTCTCATGGTCTCATTTCCTGTCCCTATTTGCTTGTTCTAGCAGAAACGTGTTTTTATCCTCTTTCCTTCAATAGAGAAACCCACCTTGAGATTTCTGGCAAAATGGCCTTCCAGAAAACTCTCAATTGCACTAACTTTTTGAGTACACTACCTCTGAGACGCTGCTTTTTGTGGTTGCCAAGTCTTTTTATCTGCTTTTTTGGATCACAAATTAACTATCCCACGTAGACTCTTTGATGAGAAATCATAATCCAAATTAATTTCCATTAGAACTTTCATTTCCAAACTTCTAGATAAATGCAAGCTTTCGAGTTCAATTTCTCAACTTTTATTCGCAATCTACAGATTCAGGAATCAGATATCTCAACCATCACAAAATTTCCATTTTTTTCCTGTGCTCCGGTTTTATGATCTGAATCAAAACGCAGAAAGAGAACATGGGAAAGAAACTAGATGCTTTGCTGTGTAGAAACTTTAAGGTTTCCAAATTCGAAAACCTTGCCAATCTTGCCATCTCAAGGATAGCTTACCTTGAGAAGCGGCATCGAGTTCGGTTTCAGCAGGCTAGGTCTGATACTCTTCAGCTTCTTGATCTTGGTCAGAAAGACCGTGCTCTCCTTCGTGTAATATCCCTTTTCCTCCATTTTCTCACCTTTAGATTCTGCTTCTTGTTCTATGGTCTGAATTTATGTTGCTTTGTTACCAGCTTGAGCATCTCATCAGGGAACAGAACATGTTGGATACCTATGCCATGATCGAAAACTACTTGAATCTCCTCATGGAGAGAATTGTTATCATTCAAAACAACAAGTTATTCGTCCTTTTTTTTCCCCCACCATTTTCTCTTCCATCATCGTAAAATTTTCAAGTTAAGTTAATGTTCATGTGTTGTTCTAGGAAATGCCCTGATGAGCTGAAGGAGGCAATATCTAGCTTGATCTTTGCAGCTTCAAGATGTGGAGAATTGCCAGAATTACAGAAGATTCGTCGGGTTTTCACTTCAAGATATGGGAAGGACCTTGAAACTCAAGCCGTTGAACTGCGGAATAACTGTGGAGTAAGTCCTAAGGTAAGGTTGTAGACAGAGATTTTCATGGTCCTTCCCCCACCTTCTTCTTCTCCCTTTTTTTTTTTTTTTATGTCGGTTCAATAAGAAATAGATTTTTGGATTTGTCCAGATTGTAAAGAAGCTATCGACCCGGCGGCCAAGCTTGGACAGCAAACTGAAAGTGCTGAAGGAAGTAGCTCCTACTCATGGTATTCTGAAGCAGATTGAGGGAGAATCTTCTGTGACCTCAGATGTAAAAAATAGCCCAGAAATGAACTTTGTAATTGATAGGGATCAAAATCATTGATTATAGAATCCTTTTCTCAAATTTTGATGTATGATTTTGAATTTTTTTCTTTGTTAATTGCAGAACAAAATTGAAGCAAAGAAGCAACAAAAGCATACTGGAGCTGGAGAGAAAGCATCATCATCCATCTCATATAACTCAAAGCTTGAAGAGGACATGAATAATTTAGCTTCAAAGCTAAAACTGCAGGAAAAACCATCCAAGAAAAACAATGTAGAGGGAAAAAAATACAGAGATGCAAAGACTGCAGCTCAAGCGGCTTTTGACTTTGCAGCTCACGCAGCAGAAGCTGCAAAAGCTGCTGTGGAACTGGCAACAAATAAGAAAAATGATCCTGATAGTACTAGTGGATCTTCCAAATCCAAAGATGGAGGAGATGGAGATGCAAATTTGAAGGATAAAAAGAAAGTGAGTAAAGAGTTTGATTCCAACAAAATCAATGCTACAGGCAGCAGCTTAAGCTCTACATCAGGTGGTGAAGATATGGAGAAGAGCAGGCATAGAAGTCATCGCAAAGAATCTGAAAGAGAGAATAAGAAAGCAGAAAAGGGGGAAAATGATTCAAATTCTGGGTCAGGTAGTAGAAAATTTGGTTCGTTATTGAAGAATCAAGAGGACTCAATTTCTGCCATGAAGTCCAGCCTGCAAAAGCCTGGAGCTGATGCCTTGAAATCAGGTGCAAGTCCTTCAAATTTTGGCAGGAGACCTCTTTCAGTGAGGACTAGACTCGCGTCTAGGCTAAGAAGCTTATGATGTGAGAGAAAGAGAAACTGAAAGATTCTGCTCAATTCTGTGCTTATGTATATGTTCCTAGTTACTAGTGTGCCTATCATTTTTCCTATGTTTGATTGTTTGTGTTATTGATTTTGCTGTTCAAAACAATGCTTGAGAGTATGAGTTCTTTCACTCGCTCTCCTGCCTTGCTATTTTCATTCATTGTCTTGTATGTTGATCTTTTAAGCATTGACTTATAATTACTTTAGTTTAAAAGGTTTGTTTACTCTTAAATTTATCTAAAAATTTTATATGCTTATCAAAAGATTTCGTGACACTACATAGACAACATGTTGCAAAAGAAAACTAAGTTCCAATACATTATCGAATTACTTTATTAAAACAATTCTTTATTATAATCAAAGAATACAAGATCGATAGTCATCAATAATTGCATTGATGCCTTCCAAGATCCCACTTCTGTTGAAGAACACCGTCTTTTATTGATGATAAAATATTACTTTGATTGAATTATGTTTGGAATAAATAAGAACCAAAGTCATCAATGAGACGTTACATAAACCCAATCCAATGTTGAGTACCTTGAATTGAAGCTGTAGTGTGTTTCTTTCTTGGTGCATAAATGAAGCATGAAAAAATGATGTGTCGCTCAAGACCAGGCTTCAACATGGTATTTACTAGCTTTTTCCAAAGATCTTATCAATCTTGTGGCAATATCCTTGGGAGCTCCACTCTCTGTGGATATGATTTCCTCAAAAGCTGACATTACATCTGCAGGCATTTTGGTTGCAGAACCAGCAACGTAAATGGCAGCACCCTCGCGAAGCAGATTCCAGATCTTCTTGCTCTGTTCCTTCATCTTATGTTGAACATAAACCTTCTGTGGTTGGTCTCTTGAGAAGGCAACGTAAAAGCCACCACCCTTGGTTTCTGAGAGAACCCCACCATTTTGAGAATGGGACAACCAGAAATCTTTATATAGAAAGTCATTTTCCTCATTCCAGCAACCAAAGAAAAACATTACAGGGGCAGTTGGACCTTCCATGCTCTGTATGGCTCTTTCCTCTATAAATCCATGAAAAGGTGCACAGCCTGTTCCAGGTCCAATGAGAATGAGGGGAAGGGTTGGTGCTGGAGGAGGAAGTAAACCCTTATGAAACCATGCTGGTATGTAAATGCCTGCTTGGAAAAAATAGACTTTTAAGTGCAATAGAACATGGTAATCAGCAACTGGAGTTTCAAACTTGCATTTTTTCTTTTTCTTTCAAACTTGCAATTGTATCATCACTCACCCATACTTTGTTCAGGATCAAGACTGGCCAGCCATGATGAGCAGAGACCTCTTCTCTTCCTCTTATAAGGTGTTGTCCACGACACTACACCAACTGTCAAGTGCACCTGATGGGGGTGAGCAGAAGGGGAAGAAGAAATAGAGTAATCCCTTGCCTTTAGTGGAGGAACCAGCTGCACCAACCACTCAAATGGCATTTTCACAGAAGGGAAATCCTCTAATACCTATTTTACAAAGAAAAAAATTTATTAAAAGAGGCAAATACAATTCACTGGGGAAAAAAAGAGTAAAAGAGATAAAAAAAAAAAAAAAAGACTCAGGCAAGTATAAGGTATAAGAAGGAAGTAGTTGGTATCTTTAATATTCTTCAAACCTTTCAATTAAAGCTTTGACAAGGCAGTTAATAAAACACACAAGATGAAGGAACAATTATAACTTGAAAATACCCATTACTTTCACTGATTTGCAATGGTTAAGAACAGACTGAGCATTGACAAAACATACGAAACTAGATGAATCTAATCTTGCTAAATGGCTAAAAAAAAAAGAAAAAAAAAAGTTCCTGCTAAACCCAATTCAGTGTGATTCATGAAGTAACCATCCATATTTTTTCATCAAGTATTGTGAAAAAATTAAGGACGAAATGCTAATATCAGCAATGACCCAGAATGTGAAGTGAGGGGACTATGAAGTGATCCAATTAGAATTTACCTCCAGAACAGTCCTCCGTTCCTTCTGGTTATATTTGTAAAGATCATCCCTTCCTTCAGATGAGGCAAAATACTGAAGTCTCTCTCTCTCATGTTCAGCTGTTGCAAAGAAGCTCATAACCTGGAAAGCTTGCCATTGTCAGAATGGCAAAAACAAATAGCAGTAGACAGAAATTTTCTTTCCAGAACACTGTATGATTTTGGAAAACCATATAAATACACATTAAATGAGTTAACAGTTTTATTAACATTATGAAGTTATTTTCTGAATTGAGTCTGACACTGTCAATCAGATGGAGACTGATGACAAGTGAATAAAGGTAATGCTCTAACCAGGATAGTCTGATAGAGGAACTTCTAAAACATACAGGATTCTTGCCTCAAAGAAATAGCGCCGAGGGGGGGCTGATGCAACATCCATTGTCAATTCCACAAAAGTTCTTAATTTGATAGGCATCTCAGAAGTTTCCATCCTTGCTTCAAGAGGACGATTCTCCATCTCTCTGGGATGAACCTGAGAGCAAAAACATATATTCCATACATGTGAAACAAATAAATTTACTGTGGTGCTAAACCCTAAATGTTCATTTCACATTTGCTGAACCTGTTATTCATTCAAATATAATATCTAAAAGGGAAACAAGAAAATTTTACAAATACATGATGAGAACACTACAAAGTGGTGGTTCCACAGTCAACCAATCTAGGGGTGAACTTACTGTTATGAATGCTTCAGGATCCAAATCACAACGCTGTATGAAGGCGTCTACAGCCTCAGGATTTTGAGTGGGGAGAACCTGAAGGACATCACCAACTTCATATTCAACAGCCTGAAAGGTTTAGAGAGAAGAAATCAAAATAAATTTTGATTAAAGAACATATTAAACAATAGAGGACTTAGCGTAAAATGTATACTGTATATAAAAAATTACACAGAGGCAATTGCAACAACATACCGATGAAACAAACTCAAATTCAAAGTGGAGCACATCTTTTCCACAGCTTGGTTTGGTCAGAGGGTAATTTCTTATCTACAAAAGTAAATAAAAATGAAAGAAAACAACCAAGGAAAACAAATACTGTTAATTTATATAAACCTCTATATTCAGGCAACATCAAAAGACTAACTATGTTCTGAGATTAGAAATAACATAAATGAACTATAGGAAGTATTAGAGGTGATAAATATGGTTTTAGTTTGAAAATGCATCAAAGAAACCCTACTTAATGTTAATTACATAAGTAAGTGCGCTTTTACCATGTTAGTAGTTCAAAATTGGCAAATGCAGTTTTAGTTTCCTGAGAACTAGACAGATAATCTGAAACAAAGACAGTCATGCAATAAATAGTGAAGAAAAACCAAGAATATCTGAATCTGATTTTGATTGTACTAAAAAACTGGGGATACTTGGAGATCAGATGCAACTCTAGATTTATATTCATGCCAACACTGATATTAATTAACATCAATTAAGCAGACAGCAAACATGATACGTAGCCAGTTCCCAAGTTTCAAGGCAACAAAAGACTTGCAGATGTTATAAATTATCTTTGCTTTTAAAACACTTTTACATGCTTCTCCATCGTCTTGACTTATTAACACATTTTTCTTTGCACTTGAAGACAGACTACATTGATATTCTAACAATATATTCTGTTAGGGTACAGAAAGAAAATGCAAAATGCATGATCTATTTTTGTCCTTCAATTTAAAAGAGCACAGAAGTGATAATCCCTCTTAGACAAAAGGTCATTGGCATCATGTGGTTCAATGTGATATAGGCATTAACAGATGCAACATTGTATCTTAGCACTTCAATTTTTAAATGGAACCATTAAGAGTTAAGACAATGGGTTGAACTATAGCTTGGCTGCTGCAACTCTAAAAAGATCAAATAAAAAAAATGAATAAGGACAGTTTTATGTGTTCCTGTGGAATAAAGAAAAGATTGCTACAAATACCATTCTCAGAAAGCAGTCAGGCTTGTTCTTGTCCCGCAAAGATTTTCCACCAGACATTGACCGAGCCCTCTCAATTTGCAGCTCAAGGCCTTCCAAATCTGAAGATCAGGACAAGGAATTGTTTTTCTTCCATATAAAACAAAAACAGAAAATAGAAAGCTGCATATACCATAAAAAAATGAAAATAGACACATCTAGCCCATTTACCAAGGTGGTTATGCTCACATTTTGAAACCTATGAGGTTATGTGCACTTGCAAAACCATAGGTAGGTTATGCACACATTTTGAAACCTCCAGGGTTATTTGCACCTGCCCAAAACCAGAGGTAGTTTATGTGCAATTTCCCCTAGAGATTCTGATGGCAAATTAATAGCACTCTATGCTCAATATCCAATTTCTTCAATAAAAAAAATTCAATTAGTCCAAGGGAAAAGTTTCACAGGAATTCTTCAATTCATGAAAATTAGTCTAATAGTTCACTAGCCTAATTGAGTTTTAGTGTTCAGTGGAGTCTTAGAAGCTTCTCATTTCCTCAACAACCATAATAATTGTCCAATGGGTTTACCAAGGATTTTGTCAAGTAATTGGGATTTATTAAAATGGATCTTGTTCCTAATACCTAAATCATGTTATTTAGGTAATTTTACAATCAGAAAGCGATTCTACTATCATCGAACAAGTTGATGGATACAGCATTTCCAAACATTAACCTCCTGCCTTTGCTTGCTATACATCTAGCCTCCTGCCAAACTCTAATTACAACATAATAAAAGTAACCTTATTAGATGATACTCATCCAGATCATTCAAGTTTTATGAAGGTGTTGAAGATGAGAAACTAAGAATCCAGAAATGTTCAATAAAAAAAAACTGCTTATACATTTAAGAATTCCCAGCCTACAATATAAAATACCTGAGAGAGTTGATGATTGGTAATTCCTCTCCTCAATGTTATTATAAGTGATTTGAAATTTTGGCTGGTCAATTAGTTTTGCATCTGGATTTGAGAAGTCTGGACCTTTTGGGAAGAATTTGGGATTGATCTGATATAGCATACCCCATAAAGATAACATCCAAGGATCCAAAGCACCTTCATATCTGAGATTTTGGGAATGAAAGCAATTATTTTCTATTCAAATTTATTTTCTAAAAGCACTGATTTATAAGACTTTAACCCATTCAGAAACAAATACAGTTAGATTTTCAAATCAAGTGAAGAGATATATTGCTCATAAATCTTGCAGTAACCATACCCTGAAGGGTGCTGATCATCTCCCAAGCCTTTTTCAATAATAGCTGTAGCCCCAAGATCTAAAATTCTTTTATCAAGCCTCTTTGCAGCAAACTGCAGCAACCAACAAACAAGTTAAATCCATATGAATGAAAACTCAAACAAACTAATACTCATAAAAATCATTGCACAAAGTTCAAAAATTATAATGCCAGAAATGAATTCACTCTGACTAATAATCAAAAAAAAAAAAAAAAAATCACTCTAACAAACAGCTGAACAAGCTAAAAGTATGGTGGCTCTCAAAAAATTCTGCAGAAATGTAGTTTGGGGAAAATAAGTTGATCAGGTAACAAAGGAAGAAGAATAGCTGTGGTCATAGAAAACACATAAAAATTTAGGATTTCATAAAAGAAAAGCATCTAAAAACAATTTAACAATTCTACAAAAGCATTTTTCTGATTGAGTTATTTATCCGGATTCATAAAAGAGAGCTACCGATATAGGCATTGAAAGAATAAAATAGGTAAGAGGCTGTGATCTTTACAAATTTATATATTGGCAAGAATTTCTCAATGCAATTTAAAATTCTTAAATCCATTACATTATATTTCTGGTACGCAGAATCACCTAATCCAAAAACAGCATAACGAACTCCCTCGAGCCAATTGCTGCCTAAATCTCTCCGCAGAAGAAACCTCCAAAATGCCTGTACATAAAACAGGTGAAATTAGAAAACTTTTCTCTGGGATAAAAAAACAGGAATTTGGGGCACCACAAAAACATATATATCCAATAACTAAAATTCATGTTAAAATACTGAACCTTCATAGAATCTGGTACATCCCCTTGGCCTGCGGTAGAAACAACAAAAATTACATAGCCTTCTGGAGGTAAGGAACTCTGAAATAGTAAAAAAATCAACAAATTGATAAGTAGTGCTTTGAACCAAGATTTGATAATTACATAAGAATCCTATTTTCCGGTACAGACTGCACTGGATTGCAAAACAAAAGGCATTCGATTGAGGACGGTCCCAATATTAGGGGCCGCCCCCATCCAAAGGTTTAAGACCGCACAACATTTTTTGGTAACAACAATTAGGAAGACAATCTGAAAAAATAAAAATAAAAATAATAATAATCAAAATTATAACTTTCCAGGAAATTCATTTTTTTAGGAACCAAAAAGAATAATTCAGAGGCTTACAGCATCATATTCATCGACGGAACGGACTGCGACGGGGCAGCCTCTGCGTTCAGCTTCACGGCCGATGCGCTCCGCCGCGTCCATGGCGTTTCCAGTTTGGGTTGCATACAGTATCAGTAGCTTCCCTGGATTGCTTTCCATGCTTCCAGAACTGAAAACTGCACCCCGAAAAGACTTTCACTCGTTGCAGCTCTGTTTCTCCGAGACCCTGATGCAGGGGTTTTGGAAGCCCGGGGAAGAAGAAAGCCGAAACGAAAATAAATCAGATCGTTGTTCAGCCCATCAAGAATGGGCCAGGCCCAATGAACAGCACCGTTACCCTACTTTCCCTTTCGATTCCCTTCTTCCAAAGTCCCGAACCCGAATTCTTTCCTCGGAGTCTCCAACCCGCTGTTTCTGCTCCTGCCCGTCTGAAAATCTGCGGCGCTGTAATGGAACTCCATTGACGCATCTTCTCCAAGGTTTGGTTTTCTAAAACGAATTAAGAAGTTTCCAGATTTAGTAGTTAATTCTGTTTCTTTTAAATCATATATAAAAATGCTAGCTTTGCTCTGACCCATAATTTCCCTACCTTCAAATTTTAGATTAGTCCCGGAGTCCCAGAGTCCCAGACCCAACATTTATTTAGTGCAGTTACTGATATTAGGATGCAAAAGAAGGGTAGAAATCGTTATAAGATCGATGTTCGGAGTGATGTTAAGGAGCATGCTTGGTGGTGGGTTGTTAACAAGGGGATCACACCCTTGTTCCTTTTGATTTCTGTGTTTGCGCTGTTTGTTCGTGTAGCTGTGTCTCTGCATCCATACTCTGGTGCCAATACTCCTCCCAAGTTTGGGGATTATGAGGCACAGAGGCATTGGATGGAGATCACCCTTAACCTTCCCGCCAAGGACTGGTACCGTAACAGCAGTGCCAATGATCTCAGCTATTGGGGCCTTGATTATCCTCCCCTCACAGCCTACCAGAGTTACATTCATGGTCTTTTCCTCAAAGCATTTGATCCGGAATCGGTTTCTCTCTTCACTTCCCGTGGTTATGAATCCTATCTTGGGTGGGTACTGTTATGGTCTTCAATTGTACCACTTTTTCTTAATTTTGGTTTTATTCATGTCTTATTTAGTTGCCATTACGTCAATGCAGGAAATTACTCATGAGATGGACGGTTTTATCCTCTGATATTCTGATATTCTTTCCAGCAGTTCTTTATTTTGTGTTTGTGTATCATGGAAGGGGCTCCAGCATGCGCACGAAGAGTGAATTAGCATGGCACATGGCAATAATTCTACTCAGCCCATGTCTTATTCTTATTGACCATGGTCATTTTCAGGTTTTATTATTCCTTCCTCTATATTTCCAAAATTCCTGTGGTATTAAAGTATTAGATTATCTAATCTGTCTGGTTCTATTTCAGTACAATTGTATCAGCTTGGGCCTTACCATAGCTGCTGTTGCTGCTACCATCTCTCAGAATGAACTCATGGCTTGTGTTCTGTTTAGTCTTGCTCTTAACCATAAACAGGTGCTCTAATTTGTTGCTTTGCTCAAAAACTTTTTGAATTTTTTTCCTTGAATACTCAATGCATTGCCTTGGTAGATTATTGATATGGTCTGTCTAATGAGTTCACAAGGTGTTTACTATGTGTACCTGTAGATATTTATTGGCAGAAGAAATATTATTTATATAGCAATGTAGAAATATTAAAGTTTATGGTAAAATAGAAATTTTAAATGAGACTTTATGAGACAGCCGTTCATGCATTTGTGTCTTCTAGCATCATAAATTTATAATTATGGAAAGCAGTAAAATTTATATATGCCTTTCTCAAACTTTTGACGCAGTTCAGGTCTAAAATACATGGATTTTTAACTTGTTATTTTCTAGTTTGCTTCTGAATCTGAACTAAACAGTTCGATGAGTGTTGTATTAATGAATTGGATGCACTGATAGTTTCACACTATCTATAGTATTCTCTTTTTGCCTTTTTCTTTTTGAGTTAACTTAATGCAGTAACTTTTCTTTTTCTTTTATGCAAGAACATTGGATTACCAGAAAGCTCATGTTAGTGTCTTTCCTTTTGTTTTTTATTTTTTATTTTATTTTTTTAATATTTAGATATTGATTTTTCAGAATAAGTGTTAAGGTGGATGCTCCTATGTTTTTATGTTTTCCAGATGAGTGCATATTTTGCACCAGCATTTTTCAGCCATTTGTTAGGTAAATGCTTGAGGCGAAAGAATCCACCACTTGAGGTATTAAAGCTTGGTTTTTTGGTGATTGGAACATTTTCCATTATTTGGGCACCATATATTCACTCAAGAGATTCTGCCTTACAGGTAAATAGAAGAATGATCTCTCTCTCTCTCTCCCCCTCCCCCCTTAGTTTTTTAAGTAACCTTGTTTTTTATGCTTTCTAGACCTTCAGATGCTAATTGACATACAGAAGAGATAAGGCTATCTATCCAAACCACTCCCCACCCCACACTCCCATACACATACACACACAGAAAAGATGAAAAAGAATAGCAGTCAGAAGAAATCAGAGACAATGAATTAGTCTTGATCAAGTCATTCATAGATATAACTGGCACATACACCGAAGAAAGATGATTTTTCAATCTAAGTTTAACCATAATGTTTTTCAAAAAAGGTGTTTTGCAGTTTGGACTGCAGAACACTGGGCTGATGTTATTTATGCAGTAAGGAACAAGCATTTTTGCTGTTGATATTCCAGCTGATATACTTTTATTACAAGCAACATGTTCTGAGATAATGACTAACAAAACTTTGAATTCATATGGATATGGTCATGACACTTGGTGTCGAATCCCTGAAATTAATGGAAAAACTTGAAAGTATTTTATAGTACTCGTGTCTGGCACGTATCCCTGGTAAATACATGATGCAGGGAAAATAGGGGTAAAACAGAAAGAAACTAAGAATTCCGTAAAATTAAAGATGGAACCAAGAAAACTTAGGTTTTCAACCTCAAGTTTATTCTCAAACTAAAATCTTATAACAAAACTGCTCTTGAAATCTGAGAAGAATAACTATATATACTAACAAGAGCCAAGAATCCTAATTCAATTCTAACTTGAACTTCTAATAAACTGTGAACTCCTAATAAGCTACTAATTCTAATGCTAATTAAAAAGTCACATGATATCTACATGACTTTCCTAAAATTAAAACTTAGACTTCAAATAAAACTCAAACTAAAACAAATAATTAAAAAAAAAACACTTTATGCTTCTGCATCATTCTCCCTGGGTTGGAAATTTAGCGACTTGTCAGCTTCAACATGTTTATCTGGACCAATTTTTCTGAATTTTTCCTCTGCAATCCAGGTGCTGTCACACGTACGTATGTCTGACCATTTTACTAGAAATTGCTTGGTTGGTTGAGTTGGTCTTTCTTGGTTTCACTACGTTAACCCCAAGTGTGTCTTCAAGAACATCTTCCTGCACGTTTTCTTTAGCTTCAACTTCAGTTTTTTCAGTAGTTGAATAGCCAACAAACTTGCTTCCAGCTAGTGAACTCTTTGTTTGATTATCCTCCATTAAAGGATGCAATGTATATTTCTTGTTGCCCTTGTGAAAGGAATTGGTATTAGGCTTTGTGTGGTGTATCATGTCATGATCATATAACCGTGGTCTGCCCAAAAGAATATGTGCAGCATCCATCAGAACAACATCACATAAAGCTTTTTCTTCTAGATCACACCCCATTGTAAAACTTACCAAACAACGCAATGTAATTGGTATCTCACCACCCTTCTTAAGCCAACTAATTTTGTAGGGATGGGGATGCTTTTCAATAGGTAATTGTAATTTTTTTACTGCCTCCTTTGAAATAATATTCTCCACACTACCACTGTCAATAATTAGATTACATACCTTGTCACCACAGAGAATGCTTGTTCAAAAAATACCATCCCTTTGCCAATCTTCTTCACGTTCTTCCCTAGTTGTGGTCATCACCAGTTGAATCATCAAGGACTCACCTTTAACTGGCAGAACGTACACCTGTTCAAATTCATCACAATAATCATCATAAATGGGTTCTGACATGTCACCTACTTTTTATTCAAACTTGGCTAGATTCACCTGTTGTTGTGGACAAGAATAGGAGAAATGTCCCCTCCCTC